CATATATAATAGGAAGATTCCGATTTGTCATTTCAAGTGCAAAAATGTCCTTGCCTCGAAGGTTTTTGGATCTTAACGTTTTAGTAGAGGTCCGTATCCAAAGTCACAACAACATATTTCAACGGTGGGAAATGGGAATTAAGAACTTTAGTATAATTTGTACAATGCTAGCAAGAAATTTGTAAATATATATTATTATGTATATATATGGAGGGAAATTACAAGGAAGGTTCTTGTACACAGTTTATGGAAAAAGTACTTGGACGTGTATAAATTAATATGTCGAACAACGAAGGCAGGTGAAGCAAAGTGGTAGCCATGTTGAAGGGAGAATATAGCCGGACTAAATTTGAAAGCAAAAGCAGGTTAAGCAAAGTAGCAACCATGTTCAAGTGAGAGCATATCCGTATTTAAAAAATTTTATTTTAGTATCATGTGTTATATCAAAATATGAATTTAGTACTTGTATTTTTAATAATTTCATGCGAATAACTTGACGTTTAAAAATATCTTGAGATTAGCTTTTGGGACACAAAATGTCCTTATTGCTCTTTCTTTTTAATTATATAAGAAATCAATGAGAACATATCCACATTTAGAAAGAGAGATGCAGTAGATAGATAGATAATAGATTATAGTTTTAGATGGAGGTAACACTATGCTTAATAAGTGAACCCTATTAGAACCTATTTAAGTAACTATATATTTAGGTAATTGGTGATTGAAAAGAAATCGAAAGTAAGGGTGTAATTCGACCGGGTAGGCTCGGGTTGAGCTTAAAATTTAGGCCGAGCCGCACAGGTCCGAATGAGGAAAATTTAGGCCGCAACACCCCATTGGCCCACAAACCTGTAACCTTTTGGGTTACCTCGGGTAGGCTCAGTTTTGCGAGTTGATCGGTGTGGTGGAAACAGAGGAAATAAAGAAAATCAAAGTGCAATGCTCAACAACTCTTATGACCCAAAAAATTCCTAACCATTGTGAGCCCAAAGCCATAAATCTCAATTTTTCTCCAGACCCAGATGAGAGAACATACAAAAGATCCCAATAAACTTATATATATATATATATATATATAAACTTATTTCTTTCCCCATAATTTCTCAGTAACCAAAAACGGTAACAAACAAAAACCCAAGAACAAAGATAGAAAAAGAATCAAACAATGACACATTGAAAGCAAAGTAAGCACCTTCTCAGGGGGAACCAGAAAGGTGCAGCTGGAGAAGCACCACCGGAAAAACTCGCCATGGGCGTCTCCGCAGAGACTTGGCCTCTTCAGAAGGCTTTTTCTTCTTCTCTGCTTCGTCTTGAATTACCATACAATAACAGAGATTTTGATAATTAATAATTAATAATAAAAAAAGAGAGAATATTTATTGATTATTTGGATGTGGATGCGACCAAAATCTATCAACCAAACGATTTTACTTCGCGATGTTCAGAAGAAGAAGAAGCAGAGAGGGACAGGCGGCAGACAACGATTGTGAGAAGAAGAAGAGGAACGGAAAGTCGGAGACTAAGAACTGAGAAAAAAAAAACTGAGAACTGATAAGCGAGAAATAAGGCGACGGCGAGGGGAGGCAAGGGAGCCAGGGAGGCAAGAATGAGAAATGAGAAGAAAAACTGAGAATGGAGAAGTGAGAACTGAGGTTGCGGCGAGGGAGTGAGAGTGAGAGAGAGCTGAGTAGTGAAAGACTGAAAGTGAAAGTGATTAGGGATTTAGGGTTTTTTTTAACACCCTCCATCTTCATAAGGCCGGGTTGGGGTATATCGGATCACGTGATGCCCGCCCCGCTGGGGCTATTTTAATCTGAAAAAAATAAAAAATAAATAAAAACCATGATTTCGGGTAGGGTAGGGTTGGGTAGGGCGAGTTAGTTGAGTTTTGGACCGAAATCTTACAGCCCTAATCTAAAGGCACTTAAATACTATAAATGCACTTCATTTCTGTCAATGTAGGACTCGCCTCAGTAGCAACCGCAATGCTACTAACTACCATTAATTTCTAATAACATACATTTTATTACAATTTTTGTTTTAAAAATATTCAATTAACAGCAAAAATTACATATTAATTATGATAATATAAAATATATTTAATTTTTTATCATATATTTCAACATGAATACCAGTAAAATAATCACTACGTATTTTTTTATTACTAAAACATTTTTAGAAAAAATATTATATTCAAATGGTACTCTCATAAATTTGTCATGTAATGTGGTTTTTACTTGGAATATTTCAACTACACAAACAATAGCAATACAATTAGGAAACACACCACGGATTGCGTACTTGGTGTCATAACGGATACCGAATGGATACTGTTGTGTAGAAAAATGTGCGCTGACACATCAGACAACAGTCATGTCCCCATAAATTCATCATGTAATGTGATTTTTACTTGGAATATTTCAACTACACAAACAATAGCAATACAATTAGGAAACACACCACGGATTGCGTCCTTGGTGTCATAGCGGATACCGGATGGATACTGTTGTGTAGGAAAATGTGTGCTGACACGTCGGACAACAGTCATGTCCCATGTGGCCCTGTTCTTTCCACGTCAGATAGCTGTCGACGCCTAAAAACTCATCCCCCCCATATGGTGAAAATGCCGATTGTAGTGGGCGATTCATGATACCGTCGAACCTACGTACAATCAACCAAGACAGAGGTCGCGCCCTGAGAAGTGTAGGCGCACGGGGTAGAGTGTAGGCGAATGGGTCCACATCCCAAAGAAGACCTCTGAGGTGACAAGCTGAAGATCCCTAGGTTACGTCTGAGTTTGGAGAAGGTCAGTAGTACAGGAAATGATTACAAGCCCATAAACAGCCTAAAATGGACCAATGAAAATCACTAAGGATCCACATAGCCGCAATAGTAGAAAAAGTGGACGAGTGAACAGTCCAAAAGGTGTTAGGAAGCTACGGTCTAAGCAGGAAGGATGATAGGCTGCCTAAGGGAAACCATCATTGCACCCCCTGTGACAGTCCGTCCAAAAAGGATCCATATGTGATCGATAGGCTATAAATAGGGAAACAGCCCCAGAGAAAGAGGGGGAGTTTTTTTTTGGTAACTAGGGGTCTTTTTTGTAAACTTCAAAAGAACAAAAAGAAATACAATCAACGGTGGATGTAGCTCTTTTTTAATAGAGTGAACTACTATAAACTCGTGAGCATTCTTTCCTTACACTTTCAAGCAATACGTCTAACAACATACCTCAAAAGCAAACACCGTCATTCGAATATCTGACAAAAATTACAAGTTTTAACCGGTAATTCAACGGGCCACTGAAGAATAATCTGGTGAAGTCTTGTTGATGAAAATCAACCATCAACAGATACCAACTGATATTTTGGTAGATACCGTACTCTATCATGGATACCAAATAGTATTTGAAGGATATATTTAGCAGTCTAAATATAATACAATGACATGATTAGCAAAGAACAATATAATATAATGACATGACCATGACATTCTTGTAAGAAAAAAAATAGCAGAAGTCAATGCAAGCCTAAATTTTGCGTATTCCTGTAAAGTTCCAAACGATTGCTGCATTCGACCTGGACCGGCCCATTATTGGTTGCTAATGCGTTTCGGCCCATTTTGATCTTTTTTATCAATATTTTGAAAATATTTCCCTTTTGTTAATTAGGGGTCAATTCAGGGGCTATACAGTCTTTTAGTACACAAGATATTTTAGTACACAAAATATCCTTTATCTCATCTATCGGCGCCACGTGACTGATGGACCAGCCACGCCTTTAACACTGTATTCGTCAACTATAGTTCCACTACTTGCCCAGCTCTTGGATTTCAACATGTTTGGTAGCCACCAACCAGGGCAGGGCTATCCCTCATCTTGGCTTGAAATTAGAAGAGCAAAAGGATCATTGAACAACATCTACTAAATTCGAAGAAACGTTTTACTCAAATTTATTCTTTTGTTTTTTTTTTTTGTTTTTCTATTTGAGAGAGGAATTTTCTAATTCATAATTGGTTTTTGGGTTAAATATTAATAAAATCAAATGTCTTCTTTTTAAAGATACTGATAAAGTTAAATATTAATTCCCATGATATTTTACATTAATAAAATAATTCATGTCGTGTGAATGTTTTTTTTATTAAAAGTATTACGGGGCGTATAATTTTAGTGACAAAATTCAACCTCAATCCTAGGGAATTTTAAATTTTAGTTATCGATTAATTTTGTAAAACTTTAGTGTAGTTACAAAGTTGTATTTTACTATATTATTAATTTATGAATAATATTGGAAAAGTACAAAGCGAATTCTATGATTGAAATTTTAACTGTATATTATAAGGAGTATTTTGCGGTAAGGTACCTTATTATAGTGCATGTTTTTAAAACATTAAATTTAGTTAAAATAATATTAGAAAGACAAAATCAAATTAAAGACATCAACAAGTCATAATGAGACTTATCAATAGAAAGATCAACGAGCCGAGTCGATTTAGGATCAAATCAACATTGATATTAAGATTGGTAAAGGTCAACTCCGAAAATAGAATCTACACTATTGTCGTGTTAAAAAATTAAGACCGTATGTTGAGATAATATCTATGATAAATTGAGAAAAGCTTAATGTTAAACACCATATCATATAAGAAATAATAAAAATTATATCGGTTCATAATTTTTTAACAATCCCTCAGAAGAAAAACGATTGAAAAAGATTAACAAAAAAAAAAACCTACTTAAGAAACATTCCCTATAAATTTCACTTTAAACTCGACAAGGATAGACCAAAACGAGCAACCAAACAGGGCATCGCATTCACCGCCCCAAATATTAACCATAGTTAGCAGAGGGGTGCAGTACGCACAGCATAGGTTTACAACAAACCCTAGTTGACATCCACCCATCTATATAACCATCCTTGAGGGTTAAGCCTCTTTCCCATCTCGCCTCCTCCATTTTCTCTCTCTAGCCCTAGGGTTTCAGTCTTTCTCTTTCTAAAAAAATGGGTTAAGCAGAAGTTGAGTTCAGGTGCTTTGTCGGCGGGCTCGCCTGGGCCACCGACAGCCAGTCGCTGGAGAACGCCTTCGCCCCCTACGGCGAGATCCTTGAATCGAAGGTCCGTTTGTTGCAGAGATCGGATCTGACCCGTTTCGGCTTTGTCGGACCCATCTGATCTGTGCTAATCTGTGTTTTCTGTTACTATCAATCATTCTCCATTTCTCTCTGTTACTATAATGATACTTGTTTTTCCCCTAAATCGGTACGTCCGTCTTCATCTTTCTCTAAAGACGAAGATCCGATCGGTTTATTTTGTACTTTTCAATTTTTATTATGATTTTGTTCAGATCTAAGGGTGTTTTTGTTCGATTTTTTGGTTTGCTTTCAGATCATCAACGATCGCGAGACCGGGAGGTCCAGGGGCTTCGGATTCGTGACCTTCAGCAACGAGAAGGCCATGAGAGACGCTATCGAGGCGATGAACGGCCAGAATCTCGACGGCCGTAGCATCACCGTTAACGAGGCTCAGTCTCGCGGAAGCGGAGGAGGCGGCGGCGGCGGCGGAGGATTCCGCAGTGGAGGCGGTGGAGGTTACGGAGGTGGCCGTCGCGAGGGCGGAGGTGGCGGCGGGTACAGCCGCGGCGGCGGCTACGGCGGCGGTGGTTACGGAAGCGGCGGCGGTGGCGGCTATGGTGGTGGTCGTGAGCGTGGCTACGGCGACGGAGGATCTCGTTACTCGAGCAGAGGTGGTGGAGCTCCGGAAGGAAACTGGAGGAACTAGGAATCTGGGGGGTCTTTGTTAAAGCTAGGGTTTGGGATGGTTTTTTATGTGTTTTATGCGCTTTAATGGTTCTTGTTTGGTGCTCTCTATTTTTGATCGATGGTTCTCTACTGTGTTACTGCGATGAAAATAGATGTTTTATTGTTTCGCTTTGTCCTCTTTGAAATACTAATATAATGGTCCTCGTTTTAAGCACAAGAGAAAAGAGAAGAAGAAATACTCTTAATGGTTTCTTTTATGTTTCATGGGAATGTTTATGTTTTGATGATGGGGACTTCATTTACAAACTAAATTTAATTTGGCTCTTGTTAAAATAGCGCTTGAAAGGTTCGAATTTAGATATTTGTTGTTCAATTGTTGAAATATTTTTCAGAGGAAAAAATGGGCTGAAAAAATTCTGAAATGAAAGATGGATTTTATCAAAGAAAAAAAAAGATGTTAATGGAGAACAAATTATCGCCCATGGCATGGGGCAGGTTATGTGGGTCAAACAAGGCTCCAATGGAGATTATGATGACTGGGTCTCGTGGGCCCTTGTGGTTTATTAATTGGCGTTTTGATATTGTTGTGGCTCAGTTTGTCGTTTGCTATAAATTAATCAAAATAAATGCTGTTTGGCCGTGAGCGTATGGCGTGACTCGTGTGGTTCAGATTACCTATTCATATCAATAATGCAGTGGCAGGCTTTTAACTTAATGTATTTTATTTTTATAGAAAGAAAATTTTCAGTGAACAAAAGAGTAAAAGAAAGGGCCAAAGCATCGGTAAGAGTGATAAATCAAAGGTTTTTAGTTCCTATGTTGTAATCAAGAATCGTTACACTATTAGAGACGAATCAAATATTCATTGCAGAGATCACTCTTCACGAGTTGCTTGCGTGGGCGCGAGGCGTTAGGAGTTGCAGAGAAGTTCTAAACAACCTGACTTCAGAGAGTCAGGTCGTCACTTAAGAGAGTCGGGTGGTTTAGAATTTTTCAAAACAACGTCCCAATGACTTAATCATAACCAAATAATGAGAAATTTAGAGGAATTACCAACAATACAGCAAGCTGACTTAACATCGTAACTTAAAAGAGTGGTGGTTTATATTTTTTTCAAAGTTACAATGCCCCCGTTTAATTTGTTAATTTGAATTGTGTTGATTCAAATTTTTTCTATTTGAATAGAAAATTTTAAGAGTGATTTAAACATAATTTGAACTGAAGTTTAATTGTGCATTTAAAGTTTTAAATCGAACCGTGAATATAATTTGAATTAATTTTTGGAATTTGATTCGAATTTGACTAAAAACATTATTATATATGATTTTAAAAATAAAAATAATACAACCTTTACATACTTTTTAAAGAGAAATTTTGTGCAGCACTTCTCAAGTTGATACGTTAATTTTTTCTTTTTTTTTTTATAGAAAAAATGGTGCATAACAAATAATACAAAAGCTAATAACTTATTAAATAAGTATATAATAATTAGAAATCTTTTTTAGGCGTTTTTTTTAATAGATTGCGTATTTTAGGCGTTTCTCAGTGGCAACAGTTGAGGAAAATATAAGGGAAAAAAACTAAACACACAAGAACGACCAAATCTCAACTGTGGAGGCGGTTTTTACTGTAGAGGTTTGGTCTGAAATATTGAATTGGGGGGGAGTTGAACTCAGAGTTCAACCATTCAGCTTGAATTAAATGGCCCATCCATTCCAATTAATGCCCTCACCAAATGCAAATTTGAACCGTGGTTTTGAGCTGAATTGGGCATCATATTTCCTATTTTTGTAGAGAAAACCTAAATGGCTTGTATATTGAGGCCCGCAATAGTGGCTTTGCTTGGAGCTGGAATGTGGCCTGAGAGGTGTAAGGGCCAGCCCACTTACGGGTGGACATCCAATCCAATAAGATACTTTTTAACTATATCTTATCCAATGATATATTGGATTTTGAGATGTTGCATCAAATGTCATCTATTTATGTACAAAATCTGGATTGGATATCAGTTTTTTTCCATAGCCAATGTTTATGGTAGGACCCTACTGATAGGAATTGCTTTTTAGCTGTTTGATTAACTTTTCAATGTTCAAATTTGCGACTAGAAACAGTTCTTGTCACGCACTTCAAATTTTTATTATAGACCTGACCACGATTAAAGACAACATTACTCACAGTAGGATAAAAAAGCCTTTCCTACCATAAAAATTGCCTTCCTTATTCCAGCTAAACGTAAAAAAGAGCTCAAACTCTTTTTTTTTTCCCTTTTTTTTTTTCAACTGAGAAACTCGAGTCTTATATAAGAGGCAACTCCACGAGGGAAGTCCTCGGGTCTTTGCCAGTTCATCCCAAACAAAGAGAACTGCTTCCAAGTCTTGGTCGAGAAGATGCAGATAAATCACTAGTAGCTTGATGTCCGCTTCTACGATCCTTAGCTAGCCCAAGTATTGTATTTGGTTATTTACTGAAATCCCCCTTTGGTGGAGAGGGATGGATTGTAAGTGTGGACGATTTGGATAGGATGTATGATTAGGTTCCATTTGTATATGAAATATCTTAACCAAACCTTTTGCATAGGGGTGGTTTGAGCATGGATAGGAGGGAGTTGGATATATCGGAAACTATTCGAACATGAGATAAGAGTGACTTTAACCATACTCGCATCCACCCATGGAGGTAGGAATGCTTTAAGAACTCTTCTTCTGGATCGTAGACTTGATCCTCCTTGTTCCTCACTCTATCAGTAGCTCACGAGGTCGGAATTTCATCTGCTCTTTTCACACGAGTGGCAGGAGGGATGACATACAGCTTACAGAGGCAATGGGAGGCTAAAAGAGGTTCTTATATTCAGGGTTAGGTAGATTTAAATCAGGGTGATTCTAATCATAATTATGAAATCAAATCTATGATTCATAATTTTATATTCAAATCATAATTCTAAAACCATAATTCAAAATCAGGAGTTTAAATCACCTTGAATCAAAAAGTGGTGGTTTTAGAATCATAATTTTAACTAGTTTAAAACATCACATCAGATTTTAAATCATATTTCAGAATCATCCAAACCAAACACTGATTCTGAATCATAATTCAAAATCGCAATTTAGAATCACTGTAAGCAAATACTGATTATGAATCAAGATCCATAATCATGATTCTGGATCTATCTACCAAACGCACCCTCAGTGTCCTCATATTCCCCTGATTCTTAATAAGAAAAGTGCAAAACTACCCTTTTAATGTTTTCATATTTTTATTATTAACCTCTTAATCATAATTGGTCATGATAGATCAATTTAAACAAATTAAAAAACAAAGAGGGCACTACTAAATACGAAGGGTGATGTTGATTTCGCTTTAATTTTTTAGGGTCAATTTTAAAAAATTTCATTCTTAATTTTCCTTTGTAATGACAATGGTTTGACATGTAAAAATAGTCGTGATTTGGCTTGAAATGTCTCGTGAATCTAACACTTGTCGTTTAAGAATTTACAATTTTAGGATATGATTCAATCCAACCATTATTCATAAAATCTAACATTTCTCATTGAGGAAAAATGACCCTCCCAATCTTCATCTTTAACCCTCTTAATTTGATTTATAAGAATAAAAAAGGATTTTAAATCTGAGGATGTTTAGTAGAGGGATTCGTTCCCTGATTCGAATCATGATTCATAGTTCGCTACAGTATTTTTTCTCACAAAAAATTCACGTAAATTGAAAATGGTTTGAATCACATGATTTGAATCCTCCAACCAAACGTCCTCTAAAAATGTTTACGGAATGATGTAAATCTTCTTAGCCCTTTTGAAAGATTTCATCTAATTATACCAAAGAGAAATGTAAGAAATAAAACCTAAATCTCTTTTTTAGTTTCGTGTCTCTCTTAAAATTGTCCTTATAAAGTACATATAAAATAAGAGAAAATGAGGACAAAGATCTCATATTCTAAAAAAGAGTGTAAAGATCTTATAATCCTTTATTGAGGGACATTCCTTAATTATTATTATTATTATTTTGTTTTTTTGAGCAAACGTTTCAGTAAGATTAAATTTTAAGGGTTGGAATTTGAATATACGCTTGTGTGCGAGAATTTCTTTTTAAAGGTTATGTGGGATAATGTGGAAAACTCATTTCAATGAAATAACAAAAATGTCTTTATTTTTTATTTTTTTAATTCACTTCCTAATTGCTTGAAGGTATAAATGAGAGACGAAATCATCTTGTCATATTATTAGGGTTGGCAATCCGAGTAGCAACACGACGACATGACTCAAAATCCGCATAAAATCAGCGACTTTGGATTTACTATGAATGAGTTTGGATCATAATCGTATTAATACGATTAACATGATTAATAAATAGATTGAGTTAGGGTCGACCTCATAACACGAAGTGACACGAATTGACACATTAATTATATGTGTCATCTGCAATCTAATGATATGTAATATAACATAAAAGTTTATATGACATATTAAATACAAATAATGTGAATTTTAATATTTACAGGTAAAATTCATTTATTTTTCTTAAAGGAAAAAATAAATTGACTAATAAACATGTTAAACTTATCTTAACCGTGTTAAATAAGTCATTATTATATTAGTTATTTATTCAATTATTAATTTAAATGAGTTATACGGGTTAACACAATTAATAAACAGATCGTGTTTAGGTTTGATATTTTTGACACGTTTAATAAACAGATCGTGTTTAGATTTATGTTTTCTAACACGATTAATAAACGAATTAACACGAACATGACCCACTAACACAAATTGATACCCTTACATATTATGAACTAAAAAGTAGTGCAGATAAATAACTGGACCTCCTAAACAATATTGGACCTACCAACAAAAATATCCTCGAGCATCCCAACCCAAACCTCAAGCAATACCTTTTTTTTTTTTTTTTTAATCTATTGAATTTTAAACGCGATTAAACGTATTCAAATTCAAAATTTCTAACCTAATGTGGCCACATTTTTTTAGCTGCTTGCCTGAGAATTTATTCGCAAGACAAACACCTCTAATTTAACGTAATTTTCGCCATTCAGCATGACATGCAATGCCACTCTTACGTAAACCACAACTTAAAATATAGTGACGACGCAGAAAACGACATCTCAATTGCCTATAGATTGTGTTGTGACATTCATTGTAACAAGAGAAAAGCAATTGTTTCCTCACAACTTTGTTTATATGTGTAGAGCTGCTTGGAACCGACGCCTCAAAAATGT